TTTGTGTCTTGCGGTTCTCAAACATCTGTCGTTTATTCTGTGTGGCTCTTCTGTTAAGCAAGTTTGGCCACCCCTGGTCTGGATCCATCCGCACAAAAGGCATTTAAGTTTACTTAAGAAGGGGTGTGTGTGTCATTTTTACTAAATCCTCCTCTGCACTGCGGACTCACCCATATTGTTCCTGAGGGTCTGCTGACGTCCAGGAAGAAGAACTGGGGGAGGGGAATCAGTGGGCTACAGTGGGAGGTAGGGTTGCCAACTCCAGGTTGGGAAATACCTGGAGATTTGAGGGGTGGAGCCTGAGGAGGGCGGGGCTTGGGGAGGGGAGGGACTTCAGTGGGCCATAACTCCATAGAGCCCACCATCCAAAGCGGCCATTTTCTCCAGGGGAAGTGATCTCTGGAGATTGGCTGTAATAGTGGGAGATCACTAGTAATCACTCGGAGGTTACTACAAAAAAAATAGAAGGAAAAAATCCTCTGTATAAATAAACCTCCAAAAAATACTCAAAGACATTAAATATAACACTCACAGATTATTTACTTAATCAACAATGACGAACACACAAAACAATTTCAATGCAAATCTTGAAATGCATATAAATAAACCATATAAATAAACCATGCCAATAGGCATATGGAGCAGAGGTCCATCCGTGGCTATTAGCCACAAGGTATAGATAGGGGCTCTGGGGCAAGTAAGGGCCAGTGCACTCTAGGCGAACGCCTAGTTCGCCTAGTGGGTGAGCTGGCCCTGGTTGGACTGGATGGGCCTTTGGCCTGATCCAACATTGGCGTCTCTTACGTTCTTCTTATGTTCTTAAGATCACAAGTTCATGAGTCACAGAGAAAAGGATTCAAATGCAAATTCGAAATTCAAAAGTCCACTCAATACACCAGTGGTGCTTCCGTGGAGTAGACTCCTCCGTCCCTGGAGACTTAAAGTTCTATTCATAGAGCAGCTCTGCAAGTTTAGTTCCAGCCGACGGGGCGAAGCGGTGCTGCGGCACCTTGTCTCGCCAAAACTTTATCCGAGATTGAACTGTAACATCTTCACAAGATCCAAAGTCACTGCATAATGAAATATTTCATGTCACTGCATTCTTCAAAATGATTGTGTGCTCAGTAGCGGGAGGTCTCCAGTCACCACCTGGAGGCGGTATAACAAAAAATGGCTAAGCAGTGGATGTAATAGACCATATCTGAAGAACACTGCGATTTTTAAGGAATATACACAAAATTCTATTTCAAATTACAGAAACCCCTCTTATTCTTTAAAGCTACAGTAGCAATGCTCCCTATAAGCCATGGAGTCTTGTGAGCAACGTTTTTACTTGGTGAGCTACTGGCATTCAAGATTTGGCTACTGCATAGATGAGTTTGCTCTGGAGCCATCCTTCCTGAGCCAAGACAAAAACGTGTGAGCCGGAGGCTGGAAAACTGGGAGCTAGCTCACACTAACTCAGCTTAGAGGGAAGACTGAGTACAAGTACAGATTGAATTTAAACATATGAATATATGTCTGGGAGTGCTCCTGGATGCCGCCTTAACAATGGAGGCCCAGGTAGCAGCCACCGGCAAGACAGCCTTTTACCGTCTACAGCTGATTAGGCAGTTGGTTCCCTTCCTCGAACGCAATAACCTGGCAACAGTGATCCATGCTATGGTCACCTCGAGATTGGACTACTGCAATGCTCTCTACATGGGGCTGCCCTTGTCCCAAATCCGGAAGCTGCTGTGCTGAGGGAGCTGCACTGGCTGCCAATAGCATACCGGATTCGCTTCAAGGTGCTGGTTTTGACCTTTAAAGCCCTATATGGCCAGGGGTCTGCCTACCCGAGGGACAGCCTTTCCCCACATGTTCCCCAGAGAGCACTGAGGTCGGGGACTCAAAATCGCCTGACTGTCCCTGGCCCCAAGGATGCCAGACTGGCTACTACCAGATCTAGGGCCTTCTCAGTGGCGGCTCCATACTGGTGGAACAAGCTCCCGGAGGACATCAGGGCCCTGTAGGACCTCTTACAGTTCCGCAGGGCCTGTAAAACAGAGCTCTTCCACCACGCTTTTGATTAGGAGCCGCCACCGAACGAGATACTGAACATCTATTAATGGCACTTTCTTTGGGATAGTCATACGGGGCCAACTACAACGATCGGCATCTGTACTGTATCGCTTGTATTTCATCTGCATTTTATATTTTATTGTTGAATTTTATGTTTTATTGTAAATTATTATTGTACGCCACCTTGAGCCTGCTTATCAGGCAAGGCGGGATAGAAATCGAAATTAATAAATAATAATAAATTATAAATAAACTATAATACGTTTATCTATGTATTTATTCAATTTGTATCCCACCTTGCCGGTGCAAACTGGCTCAAGGCGGCTTACACAAGTTAAAATACAATAAAATTTCAATACAAACAATTACATAAAGAACCAGTTTGGTGTAGTGGTTAAGTGCGCAGACTCTAATCTGGGAGAACCGGGTCTGATTCCCCATGCCTCCACTTGTACCTGCTGGATGACCTTGGGCAAGCCATAACTCTGGCACAGCTGTCCTTGAAAAAGAGCAGTTTCTGTCAGAGCTCTCTCAGCCCCACCTACCTCACAGGGTGTCTGTTGTGGGAAGGGGAAGTGAAAGGAGTTTGCAAGCCGCTCTGAGACTCCTTTGGGTAGTGAAGGGTGGGGTATAAATCCAATCTCTTCTTCTTCTTCTAAATATAAACCATGGCAACAGATGTCCCTGGTAAATCTTTGTTTGGACCCTTCTTCCGGCCGTAATCACATGGTAAAGCCAGGAAAGAGCTACGGGGACTAGCGCAGGACATGCTCAGGCACTTCTCCTCTGTTCCCAGTTGCACTCCACCACTCAAGCGTTATACCAAGCTAAGGAGCTCTGCCATTTCCCTTGACACTAAGGCCTACTCAGTGTTCCAACCGGCTCCACAAAGGCTTTTATATTGTAAGCTGTAATATAACCGGGGGCTGCGATGGCTCAGAGGTTAAGATGCTGAGCTGCAGACCAGAAGGTCTGTAGTTCGGCAGTTCGAGACCCCAGTGCCGCATTGACGGAGTGAGCTCCCGTCTCTGGTCCCAGCTCCTGCCAACCTAGCAGTTCAAAAGCAAGAAACTGCAAGTAGATAAATAGGTACCACTTCTGTGGGAAGGTAACAGCGTTCCGTTCATCTCGGTGTTTAGTCATGATGGCCACATGACCACGGAAATGTCTTCGGACAGTGCTGGCTCTTCGGCTTTGAAACGGAGATGAGCACCGCCCCCTAGAGTTGGATTTGACTGGCTTTCGAACAAGGAAAACCTTTACCTTTACTATTATATTATAGCTTTTTATGTTTGAATTTAATGTGTACTTGCACTGCATCTTTAAAGAATAGTTAAGAAGAGTTTTTTGTCATTTCAAATAGAATTTTGTGTACATTCCTTAAAAATTACAGTGTTTTTCAGATATAGTATACCACCCGGAGGTTGGCAACTCTAGTGGGAGGGAATCAACGAAAACCCCTCTTAAGAAAAAAAAAGGCATACGTTTTTCTTAGCAATATGATTAGATACAGGCCATTAGTCTGAAGACAGAGCTCACCCAAGGGCAGTCCATCTTTGCAACAGCCCTAGGAGATAAGTCATTCTAATCATTATGCTAAAGTTAGACAACTGAGACAGAGCGATTTGTCGGGCAGAGAGCCCAGGAACTGGGATCTGAACCAGGTCTCTCAGCTCCCAATCTAGCATTTTCTGCTGGTCACCTTAAAAGTCCAGGGGTTGCCTGGTGCCAGCATCGAGACACTGTCCATCAGCCTTCCGTTCACTGATTAAATGACCCCCTTTCCCCCCTCCTCAGCCCATTCCACGCAACCCGAGACCAGCGCTCCCTCTAAACTGTGGAGTCTTGTGAGCCAAAATTCTACTTTGCCAGCGACTGGCATTAAAGTCGTGAGTGACTGATTTGGCTACTGCATAAACTAGTTTGGTGTAGTGGTTTGGTGTAGTGGTTAAGTGCGTGGACTCTAATCTGGGAGAACCGGGTTTGATTCCCCACTCCTCCCCTTGCATCCGCTGGATGACCTTGGGCAAGCCACAGTTCTATCAGAGCTGTCCTTAAAAGGGCAGAGCTCTCTCAGCCATACTTACCTCACAGGGTGTCTGTTGTGGGGAGGGGAGGGGAAGGGAAAGGAGTTTGTCAGCCGCTCTGAGACCTCCAGTGAAGGGCAGGGTATAAATCCAATCTCTTCTCTTCTTCTTTGCTCTGGAGCCATTTTTCTTAAGCTAAGACAAAAATGTGTGCTGTAATGTATCCGCCATGACCACGTGCGCGACCGTTGGGCCATGCGGTCAAGCACAGGTTCATAGCTTCGTACTTTCGGACAAAGGCACAAGCGGATCCTGGCCTGCACCAATCAGGGGGCCGGGTACGCCGCCGAGAGCCTATGGGACTCTCGGCTACTGTATCAACCTATAGGTGAATTAGGGGGTGTGTTTTGGTGGTGGGTTCTGGGGCATATATACCGGCCTGCGTGCCGGTGTGTCTTGTCTTGTTCTGATCTAAATAAAGTACTCTTTGCTGAATCCCTCCACGTTTCCGAGTACTTTTCAGAACCGGAGGCTAAAAAACTGGGAGCTCGCTCACACGAACTCAGCTTAGAGGGAACAATGCCTGTGGGGGGCAACCCCCGCCCACATCTTCTGTTCTCTTCCCTTCCACTGAACTCATCCCCGCTAGAAGGCTGACAGGGGCATTTCAAAGCAGACCTCTCCAATGCAACAGGGCCTCCCACCCTCCCGGTTCCATTTAGCTTTTGAGAACAGCGTGTCCTCCTCTGAATCCCAGATGCCTCGCGTGGGGTCGCCGCCCTGTGTGGCCTGAAGGAGCCGAGGGCTGTCCCCACCCACCCGGGCCCTGTCCCCGGCTCAGCCAGGCCTCCCTCCGGCTGATCCCTGGATCACATGCTGGCGCTCTCTCGCCGCTCTGATCCCTTCCCGCACCAGTCCCCGCCGCTCAGCCATGGCCTCGCCGTCTCCGCGCACGGTGCTGATCACCGGCTGCTCCTCGGGCATCGGGCTGCGCAGGGTGGGCGTGCAGGGGGGGGAGGCGTGGCTGTCAGCTGGCCGGGGGCTCTCTTCGGTAGCCTGGGGTTGCCGATGGCGACAGCTGCCTTGGGAGGGGGGTGTCACACGGAGTTGCCCAAACGGACAGCAAGAACTGGGGTGCCTGAGAGTTCCCCCGCTGCGTCTCTGGATGCTCAGCCCGCAGAAACTGCAACTGGGGCATTAACTGCCTGTTCGCTGTCCGGCAGGATCCTCAGCAGGTCTACTCAGAATCGATGCTTCCTCTAAGCCGTGGAGTCTGTTGTGAGCAGAAATTCTACTTTGCGAGCGACTGGCTTTAAAGCTGTGAGCGAGTGATTTGGCTGCTGCATACATTGGTTTGCTCTGGAGCCCTCCTTCCCGAGCTAAGACCAAAATGTGTGTAAAAGGTAAAGGTTCCCCTTGCTCGAAAGCCAGTCGAATCCGACTCTAGGGTTGCGGTGCTCGTCTCCGTTTCAAAGCCGAAGAGCCAGCGCTGTCCGAAGACGTTTCCGTGGTCATGTGGCCGGCGTGACTAAACACCAAGGTGCACAGAACGCTGTTACCTTCCCACCGAAGTGGCACCTATTTATCTACTTGCAATTTCTTGCTTTCGAACTGCTAGGTTGGCAGGAGCTGGAACTAGAGACGGGAGCTCACTCCATCATGCGGCAACTCGGGTCTTGAACTGCTGAACTACCGACCTTCCACAGCCTGCAGTTCAGCGTCTTAGCCGGAGGCTAAAAAACTGTGAGCTAGCTCACGCTAACTCAGCTTAGAGGGAACACTGTTGAGAATCCTACTGAGGTCTACTCAATCGGGGCTGACTCCCGGAGAGTGTTCGTAGCGGGTCCTGGTTCATCTGGCACTTGTTCCTTCATTTCACTTTGTTGAGGTCCCGTCTTTGGGAACCCAAAGTGGCTTTCCTCGTTTCCCTCTCCTCTCTTGTATCCGTACAACAACCCTGACAGGTCTGCTAAGTGGAAAGGGTCTGACTGGCCCAAAGCCATTCAGGAAACATCCATGGCAGGGACTGCGCCTAGGAACCCACTGTAGCTTGGCGCCTACAATGCCCAGCCCGCAACACCCACCTTTGCAGTTGTTTCATGCCCAGAGGACTCTCCTAGCTGCATGGTCCAGCCCAGTCCAGCACCCACTTTGCCCCAAATGGCACTCGGCACCCGTGACTTGACCTGCCCGCTTTCCATTAGTCTTTGCCTGCAGCAGCTGTTCTTCCATAGACTGATTAACCAGTAGGCTGGCTCCCACCCCCACCCCCCCACCTCCAGAGATCTTGCAATCTCCTCCTTGACCCAGTCCCACTGCATCCCAGCACCAGCGCCCAGCTGGACAAGAGCCATTGCTTTTAACCCAGCAACTTGGCCGGCTGCAAACTCCGGCACTGTCCCAAGGACACTTGGGACAGGAGCTCCAGATGGCTGGAGGACTGGAGATGGAGCAAATTTGACCCAGCCGTGCTCTTCTTTGGTGCCGTGGTTAGGAGCGCAGACTCTGATCTGGAAGGGCGGGGTTTTGAATCCCCACTCCTCCCCATGCAGCTGCTGGTGGGACCTTGGGCCAGTCACAAGTTCTCTCAGAGCTGTTCTCTCATGTTCCTGTTGTCGTTGTTCAGTCGCACAGTCGAGTCTGACTCTTCGCGACCCCGTGGGCCACATCACGCCAGGCCCTTCTGTCTTCCGTCGTGCTCCGGAGTTTGCTTAATTTCATGTTTGTTGCATCAATAACACTCTCATGAGCAGTTTCTGTCAGGGCTCCCTCAGCCCCACCTACCTCACAGGCATGGTTCCCTCTAAGCTGAGTGAGTGTGAGCTAGCTTACAGTTTTTTAGCCTCCGGCTCACACATTTTTGTCTTCGCTCAGGAAGGATGGCTCCAGAGCAAACTAATTTATGCAGCAGCCAAATCGCTTGCTCACAACTTTCATGCCAGTAGCTCACAAAGTAGAATTTTTGCTCACAAGGCTCCACAGCTTAGATGGAACATTGCTCACAGGGTGTCTGTTGTGGGGAGGGGAAGGGAAAGGAGATTTTAAGCCACTCTGAGACTCCGTCGGGTAGTGAAGGGCAGGGTATAAATCCAATTTCCTCCTCCTCCTCTCCCTTTCTCCCGCCCCCCATGATCCCATCTACCTCATTCTGTTTATCAGAGGAGGGGGGAGTCTAAACAAGTCACACAGCCCCCCAGGGTTCATTAACTGGCTCCGGAAAGGACCGAGTCCAAAGGGCATCATAGACAGAGACAGAACCTTGAACCTCTGAGATAATGCAAGGCTGATACATTATCAGTAGGGTCCCCAACCTCCATGCCGGGCCTGGAGGTGTCCCGGAATAACAACTGATCCCCAGACTACAGAGATCTGTTCCCCCCAGAGGAAACGGCAGCTCTGGAGGATGAACTCTATGGTATCACATCCTTCCAGAGCACCCTTCCCCAAACTCCGCCTTTCCCAGGTTCTATCCCCAAATCTCCAGGGATTTCCCAACCCAGAATCTCCAACCCTAGCAGTTGGCCTTGGGGAGTTTCCCACCAGAGCCTCCCCTCCCTCTGCACCACCTCAGGCATCAGCCATGTAAAGGTAAAGGTTCCCTTGCTCGAAAGCCAGTCGAATCTGACTCTGGGGTTGCGGTGCTCATCTCCGTTTCCAAGCCGAAGAGCCAGCGCTGTCCAAAGACATTTCCGTGGTCATGTGGCCGGCATGACTAAACACCAAGGCACACGGAACGCTGTTACCTTCCCACTGAAGTGGTACCTATTTATCTACTTGCGATTTCTTGCTTTCGAACTGCTAGGTTGGCAGGAGCTGGAACTAGAGACGGGAGCTCACTCCGTCATGCAGCACACCTGGGTCTCGAACTGCTGAACTACCGACCTTCCACAGCCTGCAGTTCAGCGTCTTAACCACTTGAGCCACTGCAGCAATGCAAAAACCGCATGCAGGTTAACAGGCTGCAAAGTGGCATGGCAATATTTACAGATGCTGGGGGTGGGTTTCCCAAGCACATCACACCCTGTGGTGTGTGTGTTTGAGCCAGTAAGTCGCGGCTGACGTACAATGACCCCATAGAGTTTTCAAGGCAAGAGACGCTCAGAGGTGGTTTGTTATTGCCTGCTTCTGCATGCCGGCCCTGGTACGGTATGTATGTGCACATCAGTGTTCCCTCTAAGCTGAGTTAGTGTGAGCTAGCTCACAGTTTTTTCAGCCTCCGGCTCACACATTTCTGTCTTAGCTCAGGAAGGAGGGCTCCAGAGCAGACTAATTTATGTAGTAGCCAAATCGCTCGCTCGCGACTTTAATGCCAGTAGCTCACAAAGTAGAATTTTTGCTCACATGTGGGAACGGTGATTTTTCTGCGAGGCATGCCCGGAATGTCAATGTTCTCGCAGGAAGATTGGACATTAGTGCACAAAGCCTGCTGAGTTTGCTGAAGTCTTCTGAGAGTATAAACTTGGCTACAGTCGGGCAAGATAAGATGAGCTGTGGGTAAAGAACATTCTGTTAAGAATATACTGTGATCCTAGTTAGGGTCTTCGACTTGTAACGTTTTCACTGTGCAGGGCAGGGGGGGAGAAATGTGTGAGCCTGCTCTAATAAAACGCTGCTGACAGGCAGTTCGAGAGGGACAGAGAGACCGAGAGGGAACTGAGAACTTGGTCAGAGAGCTTCAACAGATCTGTGTGTTGTGTCGTTATTGAACCCTCGAACCTACACTCACAAGACTCCACAGCTCCCCGAAACCACACTCACAAAACTTTACAGCTTTGAGGGGGCATTTGGGCACATCTCTTTTTTTTTTTAGGTGCCATAGTGGCTAACGATGGCTGTGCCGTAGTAGCTCATGATGGATGTACAACATCCACAGCGTAAGTCCATGTGATGGTGGAGAAAAGCGCCATTGAGTTGCAGCCAACTTATGCCAACTCTGTGGGAATTTCAAGGCAAGAGACGCTCAGAGGTGGTTGGCCATTGGCTGCCTCTGCATAGCGACCCTGGACTTCCTTGGTGGTTCCCACCTCCAAGTACTAACCAGAGCCAATCCTGCTTAGCTTCCAAGATCTGCCGATCCATTATAGAGCTAGTGCCTTATGTATCAGGTCTTATTTATTTACTCCAGTATTTCTACTCTGTTTCCCCCCTCCCCAATGGGGACTCAAAGCATTTTTCAAACTACAAAGAGAGAGAGAGAGAGAGAGAGAGATGATTAAACGCCCCTTCCCCCAATGCTCCAGATCCTGGCCTGATCCTGGGTCCATTGAGCTAGCCAGTTTGTTTAGGGATGCAGTCCGTGCACCAAGGGCTACACACCAAGAGCCCTTCGGCTTGCATCTCCGGCCATGTCCAGCTTAAATTAAAGTGTTATGTATTGGGACTGGAACATTCCAGGTTTGTTTCTACCAGAGACTGGCTGAGCTTGGAGCTCTGGAACAATAGCCCACCAGGACTCTGGAGGTGGCCAATGAGGAATTGATGGTTCTGACAATGGCCTATCGTTGGTAGTTGTTTTGGGAAGTGGGTGGAGTCTGCATGCTATTTAAACAGGGCCGATGCCCTGGGTCTTTGTCTTGTTCTTGCCGAATCACTAATAAAGCAGAGACGATCACTAGGCTTGGGGTCAGACCATCCACGGAACCCAGCATTTAACAGGATGGCAGCCTCCCAGTGGGAACTGAAGATCCCCCGGGATTACAGCTCATCTCCAGATGACAGAGATCAGTTCCCCTGGAGAAAATGGATGCTTTGGAGGGTGGACTCTGGTGCATTGTACCCCACCGAGGTCCCTGTCCTCCCCAGGCTCCACCCCCAAATCTCCAGGAGTTTCCCAACCTGGAGCTGGCAACCCTACCCCCCCATCCTCCACTGTTGCCAGGGGGGATCTGGCAGCCCCAGTCCACAGAGCCAGCCAGTTTACTTAGGGGCTTTGCCCTTGGTGCACTGTATGCTCCCCTAAGCCTTTGGTTTGCACCTCCGGCCAC